CCATGAACCTGATCATGTTTATCTGATTGCTTCTCTTACTCTTAGCCATTTTGCTGAGCAACTTTAAAAAACCAACATATTAAAAAAGGAAGAAATAAATTACTGCCAAGAAACTAGTGAATGTTTGTTTTATAGGCTAAGAATGTAAGTTGAGTAATTAGGAAAGCATTAAATGCATTCTAAGAAGTTCTTACTACTGCCATGGCTATGCCCTCCCACTTTTTACTGGCTGTACGGGTGAATGATGGTGGGGAGGGGGCGAAGAGAAGCGAATGGGGGGCAGGGTCTTGGAGGGGAAGAGGCGGTGCGAGGGCGGGGCCTCGGGGAAGGGGCGGCATGGGGACAGGGCCTCGGGGACAAGGGAGAGCATGCGGTGGGCAGGGCCATGGGGTGGGAGCCAGTGGCCTCCCAGTTTTGGAAGGCTTCCATCGCTCCTGCCTCCTTTTGTGTGTGTTCATTTTGTTGTGTTCTAAGTAATGGGATCAGACTTTAATAACAACATCAGCAATTACAGATCCAGCTCATCTCTACTAACTTCTTCTCTTTTAATCATAAATGCAATTTTAGCAATCTCCTGACCCACTTGAAGTCAATTTGATGTTTGCTATTGATTTCAGTGGTGCCAGTATTTCACCCCTTATGTTTATTAGCACAAGAACTTCAGGCCAGTCATCACTTTTGAAACTTAAGACATTTATTTAGATATGAAATTATTAGTTTACCTTTAGGCACTCTGTTTAGAAAACTTTGGCCACAGATGTCTCTGCCTTCCATTTGGGGTTAATAATTTGTATTGCTTGAAGTCATCAGTGTACTTTGAAATTTTCAGTATTATCATAGCCTCACTATGGACATGATCATATACGAACTGAAATCAATAGAAAGATTCCCATTGGCTACCTTGAGTATTTGATCAGCCCCTATGAAAACAGGTCCTAAGCAATTAGATTAATTTCAGAACAACAGTACAGTCCATTCTCTGCACTCAGTCTGGAATTTGAAGTTGTAAGGCTTTTTCCATGTCAAAATGATTTTGGTATCAGAGATTTTGGTGTGTTTTCCTGACCAATTACAGTCTATGGCTCCACCTGCTAGGAGCTCAGCATTCCGCATTAAATCCTGCCCCATTTAATCAATGGATAGTTTGCCATTGACTTCCATGGGGCCAGGACTTCACCAGATAGTTCTAAATGTAGCACAGCACTAAAGCAGATGCTAAGCATGTGCTTAAGAGCTTTTCTAGATCAGTGTGAAAGAACTGAGTACCTTGCAGGATTGAGTCCTACTTGTTTATGTATGTAAATTTAAAGTTTTCTATAGTGCTTGTAACTGTAGTATCTAAGCTCTGCACAAGTAAGTTAGGTCTGTTTTGTGATGAAGTTTGTAGTGGACTTCATTAAGTATTCTGCTCTTTGCTCATCTCTTCCAAAGTTTTCCAGGAAGTTCTATTTAGAAAATATAAAATTATAATTCTGGTTACAGTGGAAAAGCTTTATCACAAAAGAGGGCCTTGCAGTGTGTTCTAAAAAGTGGTTGGACTCTAGATTGGTCTAATCGTCTTCTAGTAGCTCATTCCCTAGTTGAGCCCCTTCCTCCAAGAATATTTTGTCTCTAGCTTCCATATACTTTGTTCTGGGTTTATTAGCTGCATTATTCTAGAGGACTAAAGCACATGGTGGATTTTTGGCTGATTTTTGTTGGCCTTACAAATCTGCACTTTTTTTTGCAGACTGCCATCTTGTGCTGCAGAATAATTATTTTTAAAATCTCTAATCTTTATGATTGTGAAGATAACCTTTAAAATATAAACCAATTCAGTGATAGCTGGCTAAAGTTTGCAGACAGGGAGGTGTGACGGCTACTCGTTCATTTCAATGCCATATTAACGCTATAACCTAAGATGATAATTTACATGTCTGCATTGTTAACTATTGTTGCTTATCAAAGTGCACAAGAAAAGCAAAAAATAGTATTAAGACAATCTATACAATCTTCTGCAAGTTATGTCTTGCTTTAATGTCCCAAGTGGGTCGTGCTTGGAACAGCATTAACACCATTTTCCCCCAGTTCAGCCTTTGAGCACAGCTGTCTTGGCAGGCCATGGATGAAGATGATATCATTGATTCACTGAACTGGCAAAAGACACAAATTGAGAATCCATAGAGGAAGTGAAACAAAGCAGTGATGTACTCAGCTTCAAGTTACAATAATCCAGCCTGGACCTGATGAACATGTGGATCGTTGTGGCCCACTCCTCACTCAAAAGGAATGGACAAAGTCTCGTGGCAAAATGAAGTTGGAATTAGAGATCCATCTTTTCTCTTCCACCTTGCAAGAAAAAGAGCAAGGGGAACATAAGCAATGGATACATTTTTTCTTCAACAAGGAAAACATATGCTACTCTCATGTATATCTGCTCACCTAGGTCTTAACAAAATTTATGTAATCTGAGTATATAACGCATGAGGTCTGTGATCTTGGTTGCTTCTGCAGGGCAAGAAATATTTATTTCCTTCTCCCAACGCTGATGAAGGTGCTCATAAAGCAAAAATGACCGATTTATGTACATAGCCAGTACTGATTGTATGTATACATAGCGCCTAAAACATTCTGATCCATGATCGGGGCTACCACAGTGCAAGTAATAATAATAGGAATAAATGTGTATGTTCTTTAGCCTCCCCTGCTGGTTGAGTTTCAGAAGAATCTCACTGGAGCATGGCCTGGATGTTAGTTGATGGAATTTAGATAAACATCTAACAGTATAAAATAGAAATGTAAGATAAGCAAAAAAACTATTGTGGGTGCATTAAGATTGTTATGAGAAAATTTACTTTTGTATTTCCTAACTTGTGATTGTTTAAAATTATAACCATAATATTACGTGAACATAAGGGAGGTTGTTTTTGATATTTAAATGCTGAGCCCACTGTAGCTGCCACTGCAGTCTAAATAATAAATAATGTAATTTCCTTGTTTCTTTTTTGTGTGTTTGTTTGTTTAAGAATAATGAAAAATAGGTTCATTATCTCACCTAAATTTAGTAAAATTAAATTAAGTTGGGGATAAATCACTAGTCTATTTACTTATTTAAAAAAGAAAACAACTGAAAATCTTATCTTTCACACAGAGAACTGCAAACAGGTAAAAAAAAATGCATGAGAATTAAAACTAACCCACTAAGAGATTATAATGTAGTGATTTTTACCAATAATAAGACCCATTGGAAAAAGAAATAATTTTATTTAATCCCACCTGTCAAAGCTGAATCCCCACTCAGCCACTCCGAGTGCAGGAAGTGGGGGCCCACAAGGATTTTAAAAATTAATACTTGCCACTCCAGGCTTGTATTAAACTCCCAAGGTTACAGCTTCTCTCTGACCTTGGCTTGATAAACACTGCCACCACCCAAATGCAAAAAAAAAAACCCTTTGAACCCAGGAAGGACCACTTGAGAATTCCTCCCTGTGGGGTACCCTCAAGCCCTTTCACCACCCTCCAGGGAAGAGCTGAGAAAGAAAACAAAGGAAATTAGCTGTTGCTATCAGCTAATCAAACAACATGCACAAACCTCTTAGGACACTCAAAATCCAATTAAAAAGAAAAAGGGAAAAATACATCTGGATCTTAGGCTTTTTGCTAGATCTTAAAAGAAACAATTACAAAAATTAAGCACCCAAAATAGCTTTCTTGGGGGTTCAGCTTAAAGGTTAAACAAGATCATGAGGGGTTAGCACAGAGGAGATCCACAAGCCAAAATAAAGAAAATAAACCTGATCGCGTCTAGCTAAACATTCTGATTTACTTACACATTTGGAGTTCAGATAAGTAGTTCTAGGCATGATCTAATGATTTATGATCATACCTGGCTTAAGTTGCTTATAGCATGGCTGTTCTGTCCCTCCAGGCCAGAGAACAACAGACAAAGAGAAAGTTTCTTTCCCCATTTTAAAAAGTTCTAGCCTTCCCATTGGCTCTTTTGGTCAGTAGCCCACTTTTTTTTTCTTTACCTGGGGGACTTTTTAACCCTTTACAGGTAAAGCAAGTAAAGAACAGTTATGAGGAGGGATTTTACAGCTAACTGGCTGGCTGGGTGTCCATCCAAGGGAGCTATCCCCCCACTTTATTTATCACACCACCTGAGAAATGACAAAGCTCCATTTTCAGCAAGATATTTAGGCACATGCATTCAGTCTGCAGTCAATGTATACAACTCTAATTCAGTATGAATTGTGGGAAACAAGCGCAGTATGTAGCCTTAACAATGCAAATTACTTGCATTTCTTGATCTCTAAATACACCTATTATAGCTGAGAGATCTCTTTACCGTTATCATTATTTATCTAACATGCTTAACAATCACAGAATTCCCAAATTGCCAATCTCCTTCATATCGAAAAGCAATAGAACGGTTGTGTATACTGGAGAATTAATTCTACTGAATTAATTAATTCTACTGAAACAATGAAACAAATATGATTTTATTTTTAATTTTGAGGTCTGGAATGACTTCAGTTAAAATCATAATCACAATCAAAACAGCAACCAATGTACAGTGCAATTCATTTTCAGTGAACATGGATTGAGTGAAACTGCTTCTAATTTAGTAAAATGAAAGTCCTAACGTTTCAATGTATTACAGTTTCATTTATACTGAAACTCTGTATACAGGCCCAGATCTTTTCTGTTTTATGCAAGAGCTCAAGATTTGGTGGTAGACTTATTTCACTATGACAGGTTTCTACTGTTTTATAAGGTACCTCAGACTAATTTAATAATAAACAAGAGCATAGTCTCTGTTAAATGAACCAAATAAAAAAAAATCAGCTGCTGACTGCAACTCTGATGGTTCATCACAGTGCAGTACAACACGTGCAACAGCATGAATGCAGCATCTGTAAAGTATCTGTTTAACCTGCCATGTATTTCAGTAACCCGGAAATAATGCTGCATCAGAGAGATAACGTAAGGTATGCACGTCTCTCTGTGTACCTTTGTGTCATAGCAACTGTCACCAATGTAGGTAAAGAATGAACTGGAGCTGAATAAATTGGACCAGAGATTAATTTCTGGCAGCATACTGAACCTACAGAAACAGTCATTATCTCCTACACGAGTGCAAGAAACACGCACAACAGGTGAGTGAAATATGGGGTTGCTGATAAGTGGAAGAATAACAAAAGAGGAGTATACTTCTGACTCATTCATTGTCAGTATTTAAACTTTTTCTCATGCCAAGTAGAGTTTTTTAGCTTGGAAAACCTATCAGAACTACTATGCAGTATATGAAATACCATAAACAACTATTACATACAACTGATTAATGGCTATCGATTTTCTTTTAAATCTATTCTTTTTAAATGCCTGTACAAAATCAAGAACATTCATACATTTTGGAATTTTCTTGCTGACTATATATATTTTTCTGAATAGTTCAAAGATGGCATTAGCAAGTGGACACTGGATTAGAAAAGAGGTAATTGGAGACTCCCCAACCCCTAGGTATGTTATAATGGTAATAACTGACTATTGTCTATCAGTCTCCTTCAAATACCATGTTTTCTGTTTCACTTTTATACAGTAAAAGGGTGAGTTGGATTTAGTTCATGTTGCTGCACCTAATTTGGCCTATGAATAAGAAAATCTGCTGTTATTCAAACAGTGTTTTATATTTTCTATCTGCCTTTGCAGCTTAACATTAATTAAAAATCACATATCTTTCAGATGAAATATAAAACTGAGATTCTGATCACTTGTGATTACATAAGATCCCATAATATAATTTTTGAACAGTTAAGGATTTTAGCCAGGCTATTTTGGTCAAATTCCAGTTTGGGTAATTATGTTTTGTTTCCAAAATGTTTACTTCAAAAATATGTGGTATTACTGGTACAGAATAGCTACCATATTGCACACTTCCCTCCTCTGCAAAAGGACTGCATTTAAAAGGACTATATATATATATATATATATATATATACACACACACAACAA